CCTTCCTTCCTTCCTTCCTTCCTTCCTTCCTTCCTTCCTTCCTTCCTCCTTTTCTTTCTTTCTTTCTTTTTTGTCGTTGTTGAGACGGAGTCTCACTCTGTCGCCCAGGCTGGAGTGCAGTGGCACAGTCTTGGGTTACTGCAACCTCCACTTTCCGGATTCAAGCCATTCTCCTGCCTCAGCCTCCCAAGTAGCTGGGACTATAGGTGCCTGCCACCATGCCTGGGTGATTTTTTTCTTGTATTTTTAGTAGAGAGGGGGTTCCGCCATATTGGCCAGGCTGGTTTCAAACTCCTGACCTCAGGCGATCCGCCCGCCTTGGCCTCCCAAAGTGCTGGGATTACAGGTGCCCAGCCAGCGCCTGGCTGGTATCACCAATCATTTTAATCATGATATTCCCTTTTTACCATTTTAATGTATGTAGGATCTATAGTGATATTATTCCCCTCTTTCATGCCTGATACTTGTAATATGTGTGTTCTTTCTTTATCATTCCCTCTCTCTCTGTCTGGCTTATAAATTTTATTGATCTTTTCAAAGAACTAGCTTCTGGTTCATTCATTTGCTCTATTTTTTTGAATCCTATTTTTTTTTTTTATTTTGCTCCTCATTATTTTATTATTTTTTCTTTGGATTTAATCTGATTTTCTCATTTTTAAGGTGAGAACTCAAATTATTAATTTCAAATTTTTCTTATTTTCTAACACAAACTATAAATTTCTAAGAACTTATTTAGCAGCATCCCTATGTATTTTCATTATAATTCAGTTTAAAACGTTTTCTCATTTATCAATGATTTCTTTTTTGACCTATGACTTATTTATTTAGTTCCAAAACATATGAGCTTTCTCTGTTTATCTTACTCTTATTGAGGTCAAATTTAATTCCATTAATGGTCAGAGAGCACACTCTGTATAATTTTCGTTATTTTAAATTAATGAGGTTTATTTTATGGCCCAGCCTCTAACTTGCAAAACATACCAGGTGCATTTGAAAAGAATGTGTGAGTGGAGTATTCTATAAATATCAAATCAATGTGGAGTGTTGCACAGATATTACATATATTTGCTTATTTTTGTCTAGTTTTTCTAGCAAATAATGAAAAAGAGGTATTGGAAAACTCCAACTATAGGAGGTGAAAGACTTGTACATTAAAAACTAAAAAACATTGATGGAGGGAATTGAAGAAGACACAAGTACAGTCATGCATCACTTAATGACAGGGAAACATTCTGAGAAATGCATTGTTAGGTTGTTTCATTGTTGTGCGAACATCGTGGCATGTACAGTACTTCACAAGCCTAGATGGTATAGCCTACTACATACCTAGGCTATCTGGTATACCCTGTTGCTCCTAGGTTGCAAACTTTACTCAATACTCTAGGCAATTGTAATACACATCGCAAGGTGATAGAGGTTTTTGGCTTCTGTAAAGTGTGATGGGGCCCACTGTCATATGTGCAGTTTTTCGTTGACCAAAATGTCATTATGTGGTGCATGACTGTAAATGGAAAGATATCCCATGTTCATGGACTGGATGAATTAATATTGTTAAAATGTCCATACTCTATCAAAATTTTGCTGACACTTTTCACAGAAATAGAAAAAAATCTTAAAATTTGTTTGGAACCACAAAAGACCCTGAATAGCCAAAGGAATTTTGAGAGGAAAAAAAAAAGAAAACCAGAGATATCACACTTCCTGAGCTACTATAAAGCTATACTGGCTGAGTATCTCTTATCTGAAATGGTTGGAACCAGAAGTATTTGGATTTTAGGTTTTCCGTACTTTGAAATATTTGTGTATTTATAATGAGATATCTTGTTGATGGGACCCAAGTCTAAACATGAAATTCTTTGTTTCTTATACAAGTTATACAAATGGCCTGAAGGTAATTTTATATAATATTTTAAATAATATTGTGCATGAAACAAAGTTTTGACTGCATTTCAACTGTGACCCATCACATAGGTCAGTTTGGGTTTAGGAGTATTTTAGATTTTAGATTTTCAGATTAGAGATGTTCAGCATATAGTAATCAGAACAGCATGGTACTAGCATAAAAACAGACATGTAGACCAATGGACCAGAACAGAGAGCCCAGAAATAAATTCATGCAGCTACCATCAATTGATTTTTCAACTAAAGTGCCGAGAACACACAATGGGGAAAGGATAGTCTCTTCAGTAAGTGGTGTTGGGAAAACTGGATATTTACACACAGAAGAATGAAATTAGATCCTTATCTCACACCATATACTAAAATCAACACAACATGGATTAAACTGAAAAACTTCTACCAGAAAACATAGGAGAAAAGCTCATGACATTAGTCTGGGCAATGATTTTTTTGGATATGACCCCCAA